ATTTGGGGAATGAATCAGCTGATAGGAGATCTGTGTGTCTCTCTGTGTCTTTCCCTATTTTTCAAATAGCATAAGTAATAAGATAATGTGAAAATTGAAATATAGTGGAAACAAGCATACGAATAGGGATGGGAGGTGGGCATTTGTTTCAGTTGTTGAGATATCACATGAGATACCTGGATATTGTATCAAAGTGCCTAGGTTTGAGTCCTGGCTTCACTTGTAATTCTAGCTTCCGGCTAATACAGATCCTAGAAGCCAGAAGGTGATGGATCATAAGCTTGGGTCCCTGCTTACCATGTTGGAAACTGGGGTTGAGTTCCTGGCTACCAGTTTTGGTCTTAAGGCCTGACTGTACTGTACATTTGGAGAGTGAACCAGTGTATAGGAGCTGTACCTTGAGGAACTCTGCTTATAAATAAATAAATAAATAAATAAAATGTAGGGCTAGATAGATGACAAGTATTATGTACAAGTTTTGTTCAATTTTTCAACTATTAGAAAAGAAAAAGCATTTCAATGAGTGTACATTGTGGACATGCAATAAATATGTTAAAAAAGAAGTGACAAGTGCAAACTATCATAGGCAAGTGAATTAACTACTGTTTGTAGTTACTTATTGACATAACAGCAGACAGACACCCTCCCCGTCCCCAAAGTCGTCAGTCGGTGACAGAGGCCGCTTTACTGACGATGGCTTTCTTCAGAGCACCTTTGATATCCTTGTTCCTGAGGGTGTAGATCAAAGGGTTGAGTAAGGGGGTGATAAAGGTGTAGACGAGCGCGATTTTGCGGTCCTCGTCCTCCGAGGTGCTGGACCGGGGACGCAGGTAGACCAGGCTGCAGCAGCCGTACTGAAGCAGGACCACCGTGAGGTGCGAGGAGCAGGTGGAGAAAGCCCTGCTGCGGCCCTGGGCAGAGCGGATGCGGAGGATGGCGCGGGTGATGAACACGTAGGAGACACAGATGAGCAGGAAGGGCACCGTCAGCACGAGGATGCCCACGAAGTAGAGAACGGCCTGGTGCACGTGGGTGTCAGCGCACGCCAGGCGCAGGACTGGAGGCACATCGCAGAGGAAGTGGTTGATCTCCCGGCGGTGCCCACAGAAGGGCAGGGTGAAGATTAAGGCGGTGAGCTGCAGGGAGAGCGTGAGGGCCAGGATCGTGGAGCCCACCACCATCTGAATGCACAGCTTCTGGGTCATGATGAAAGTGTAGTGCAGTGGGTGGCAGATGGCCACGTAGCGGTCATAGGCCATGACTGCCAGGAGGAAACAGTCAAATCCACCAAGGGTGAGAAAGAAGAACATTTGGGCCCCACAACCAGCCAACGAAATGGGCTTCTGGGCCCCCAAAATGTTGGAAAGCATCAGGGGCACCACAACAGTGGTGTAGCAGATTTCCAGGAGAGACAGGTTGCACAGGAAGAAGTACATGGGGGTGTGGAGGGAGCTGTGTGTGCACACCACAGAGATGATGGCTGTGTTGCCACAGAGGATCATCAGGTAGAGGAGGAGGAAGAGGAGGAAGAGAAGGACCTGGAATTCTGGGACAGCCGTGAACAGGCGGAAAACAAACTCAGTAGGGCCGGTTTGGTTGAGGACAGGTTTCCAAGCCAACATGTTCTCTGCAAAAGAAGAGATGTGGGGAGTGCTCAGTGGCTGAGTTGCTTTTTTATTTTTTATTTTTTTGGTTGAGAAAAATAAAGGGTTTTAAATTCTATTTTTGATTGTAAGCCACCTATTGGTATCCAATTTGCAACCCCAGTGCTCTAGCATGAATTTGCAATAGAAGCCCTGGTATAGTTTTTTTCTTGTAAACCTTAATGAATGAGATTAGCATCCACGTGAAGTCAGTAGTGAAAAGTCATGAATATGCTCCTGGTGAAATGTGTGTATTATTACCCTCTGATATTATTAATCCCATTGGCAAGAACTAATACTTTCCTTGAATTCAATTAATATATAAAGAGTTATAGTGGTTGATATATTTATAATTAGAAAAATAGATATGCAGTCTACACTCCTGCCAAACATTTTAATTGAAATAGAACCTTCATACAGAAGAAATCATAAGTCCAGAATGCACAGTGTTGAATTTAGAAACAGAATGAGACGTATTGACAAATATTGTAATTGGCATCAACACAATGTCTGCTAAAGTTATTCTTGCAGTTTTATGTAATCATATTCATTTCTTCCCATTTTTAAAATAGTATACTGATTTACGTCATATTATGAGTTCTCTTTACATTATTTTGACTCCTTATAAAATCAGACTAACAATTTTTTTACAATCATTTCCTTGAGTATATGAGGACATTTCAAAAGGTTCATGGACAAATTGAAGGAAAAAAAATATTTTCCAGGAACAGTTTGAAGACCCTTGGTACCCTTCATCTATTTCTTCTCATATGAATAGTTTCTTTAAATTTCCAACAAGGAATGGAAACTTGTATTCAGATAGGTTCAAATGTATGGGGAATGAAAACTTGGATTGAATTAAAGTAGAGCTTCCTGACATGAGGAAAGACAGCAAGGAAACTAAAAATACAGTAGCAGAATTGAATTATGCATTACAACAATCAGGAGAAAAAGTATTTTTCTGAGCATCTGGGAAGGAAAAAATACCTTTAAATACCCTGTGATTTGGACTACAACCTTATTTTAACACAAAAATCTGAGAGGCAATAGAACAATATAGAATTTTAAGAAAAATAAATTGTTGTCAAGGAGTTCTATATCCAGGCCTTAGTGATCTATTTTTAAAGCAGCGCAATGACCTCAGACCTATAAGGGGTTAGTGAATATATTATTTTAAATATAATTAAGACAATCCCTCTTACACATTTTTGGGTTGGGTCTGGTTTTGTTATACAGAAAGTTAAGTGGCAGAAATGAAATTATGCTGATGTCCTCAAAGTACATAAGGAAGCATTTAAGATATTTCACTTATGTGCCTAATTAAAGAAATATATATACAAGTTTATGTCATAATAATCATAACCATTAGGGTTAAAACCAGCCTATCCAAAAGATCAGAAAACTTATATTGTGAAAAAATATGGATTTCAAAATTCACCAAAAATTGTCTTTTAATTTCAATTCTAGGAATTTTTTGAAGTTTGCCCATAACAACGTACCGAGAGCAGAAGACTGAAAACACAGGGACATGTGGGAAAGCGTGCATGATGAGATGGTTTCATGTAAACTGAGAAAAATATTCCACTTGTGGTAATTTAAATGGGGTGTATATTCTGTTGGAAACAGAGTCTCCATATTCACAGAAAAAAATACTCTCAAGTGTAAATATCCAACATAGAAAAGCTGGCATAGATTTTGGTTAGCATTATATTTGATCATTTAACCATAGGCAATGAGGCAGCAAAAAAATGCAGAAATTTTATTGTCTAACGAAAACACAAGAAAATCAACTAGAAAAATTACGACCAGTAAGTTACTCATTTGGATACTTCCAAATGACATGCAGTAGAAACTCTTTTATCTTCACATAACTTTTGGGTCAGATTTACCAGTGTTCCTTCTTCCATCTGTGTCCAACATACTACATGATGCCAATGTCATATACAACATAAAGAGACTTGCTCCTTATTCTGCAATATGTCTCAGTACTCCTATTCTCATGAGTTGAGCTGTATTCCTACAAGTCAACTGGGTTTTCCCAAAATCTACTTATAACATGCACATTCACTTTTCTAATTAGGTAACTTTCATCAAATATTGCAAAATATAATAAAGCACTTTTATGACTATTAAGTATGTAATTAGAAATAATAATTGAATGCTTGAGAAATGCCTGAAGACTACAGATTACTAGAAATCACGGTGAATTTTTTTGAGTCAGACAATTATAAAATGCAAGAAGTGAAAATGATATGATTTTGAATAATTTTATGTTCATATTTGACATTAATCTAATACTTCTTTGTATGTTAAAAGAGCTGAAACTTGATATATTACAGAATGCATTCAAGAAGGGTTTTGGTCTCAGGAAGCAAACTCAAAGTTAAGCTCTTGGTTTTATATCAAAATGTTGATGGGTAAATGTCCATTTGTGTTGCAAACTAGGGGAACTGTGCCTGATAATAATGAATTCAATGTTTCATAATAGCTGGTAAAATTTTGAATGTTTCCAACATAAAGAAATGATACACATTTGAGTTGATTGATATGCTTGTTCACCTGATCTGATCATTACCATTGTGTATATGTGTTAATTATCATATGGTACCCAATAAATATGTAAAATTATTCTGTCAACTAAAAGCTTTTAAAATATTAGAAAAAGATACTAAACACAAAGAGTAAAACAAGTTGAAAAAAGTGTGCAGCTTTTGTTTGAATCGTAGAGTTTTCTTTCTTCTCTTTAATCAGTGGTACCAGTTAGAAAGCATCCTTCCCAAAACAAACAAAATGGATGCATGAACAAATGATAACGAGTAGGGCTATTTGACAAAAACTACAAAGCTGTGCACATAGGTGCCTCAGCGGAAAAACATAGTGTTTTGGTGTTAATCAACTCAGAAACAATGTATGAATCCCATATAATTCTATCAAAGTCTGTAGAAAAATAAACAAGTGAAAAGACAAAAGCATGGTTTTGAAAAAAAGAGTACAACCATGGGGTGAAACTTCTATCAGAAGACACTGAAACATATTGAAAATAGTTACGTAGATTATAAAATGTATATTACATCATAAATCAAATTATTTGTAGAGTATGACAGATTCAGCACAATAGGACAGAATCACTAACAATAGATAATTATTCTGTTGTGCTTGTGTCATACATTATTCCATGCACTTCACATTTATTATCTCATTTCATAATAGCTCTCTGTAAAGAAGCTTTCAGACTTCTTATTAGAAAAGGAAAATGGAGTGAAGAGAGCTTAAGTAGTTTTCTCAAGACCACACAGCTAGTGAGTGTTGCAGCAGCAATTTAAACATGAACAGGCTGGCTCTT